AAAAAAAAAAAAAAAAAGACTGTCGGAATTACCAAGAAAACCCAAGTCCCAGCCTCAGAGGATGTCAGCAGGCACAGTAAGGCATCAACTGGCAAAGACTGCGGTCCCATGGCTTGGGATGAAGATGTGTGAGAGGACCATGGAGGCTGAGAACTTTGAGCCCTCGGCTTCTCAAGGGTTTATCTCACCCGAGGAAGTAGTCTCTCCACTCTCAGAAGATGAACTTCTACACTTACAACCTGAAATACTGCCTCTCCAAATGGGCAAAGGATGTGAAGATACTCCTGTCTTGAAAAAAATAAAAACAAACAAACAAATACAACCAAAACAAAAACAAGGTAAATTCTCAATAATCAAGTAGAGGATGATTGTTCTGTGGACAGGCAGCCTGTTTCCCAGCTATCCCTGTCACTGCCCAATGGGCATAGGAACAAAGTGGCCATGGTGGCAGACGGAGGTTGTATGTGGACTTAACCACATAGACTGCCACTCACCAAAGCTGACCTGGCTACAACTTTGACCTGGTGGCAAGTTGACTACCGTTCACCATTTCCTCCACGGAAAGGACACTTTGTCCTTACTGGAGTAGAAACTTATTCTGGTTACGGATCTGCCTTTCCTGAACGTAATTCTTTTGCCAAAACCACTATCTGTGGAGTTACAGAATGCCTTATCCACCAACATGTTATTCCACACAGTACTGCTTCTGCCCAAGGAACTTACTCCACAACTACAGAAGTGTGACAGCGGACCCACGGTCATGGAGCCCACTGGTCTCACCACGTTCCCCACCACTCTGAAGCAGCTGGTCTGACAGAAAGATGGAATGGCGTTTTGAAGTTACAGTGCCAAGGAGTTGGTACAGCATGTAGGGCTGAGGCAGGGTTCTCCAGAAGGCAGCGTATGTATCTTTAAATCAGCGTCCAATATATGGTATGGTTTTTCCTATAGCTAAGATCCACAGGTCCAGGAATCAAGAGGTGGAAAAAGAAACAGTTCCACTATCACTCCTAGTGACCCACTAAGAAAAATGTTGCTTTTCCTGTTTCTGCAACCTTACATTCTGGTTCCAGACTGGGGAGCGCTCCTGCCAGGAGAACCAACATTCCACTGAACCAGAAGCTCAGAGTCCCCCCTGGCCACTCTGGGCTTTGGATGTCCTCACCATCAGGCTAAGAAGGGAACAGCAGTGTGAGGTGACAGATCCATGTCACCACGAGGAAACTGGCTGGCTTCTCCACAATGGAGAAGGATTATGTCTGGAGTGCAGGAGATCTTTTAGGGTATCTCTTGGTGCAACCATGTCCTGTGATTAAAGTCAGAGGGAAACTACAGTCTAATCCAGGCAGGATGACAAAGGGCACCGACCCCTCAGGAATGAAGGGATGGGTCACTCCTGAAGGAAAAGAGCCAAGACTTACTGAAGTGCTTGTTGAAGGT